TCTAGGGGTGTTTCGGGCTGTTAACTGGAGGGTTGTATGGTAGTGCTGAAACTCTAGCCACAGCATTCTGCCCTTCCGATTCCATGCGTCCAGCTTCCTTGCTCTGTTGCGTTGTTATACACAAACCACCTTTACATCCTCAACTATGACTTGATTTAGGAAATGACCGTTTTACTGATTGTTTCGGAAAAATGTAGCTGCTTGCTCTGTAAAAAAAATGCACAACCCAAGTTGCTTTAAGTGGTCACACTAAGTTAAATTCCCAACCTTTCAGACTCTTAGAAATCTCTTCGCAGAGTCGTGCCTCAGTTTTACTATTGGATTGTTGCGGCAAGCATTTGCCACGTAATGCGTTGTAATCCTCTTCCTCGAGCAAAATATTTTTTTAACTATCGCAGAAAATAACTGCAGTAGGCAAGCAATCGATTTTTTTTATACCATTTTGCTCAAGCCTTGTGTGAGAAGTTCTCGTGTTGCAATTTCAAATTTCCCACCAAAAAATGCCAAGTTTGATTGGTTTATCGATGATCAATTAAAGCAAAATTGAAAATCAATTTTAACTACGCCTGCCTTCGCGTTGTAACTGTTTGAAAAGTCCGTTGGCATGTGTGTTGTGAGTCAAGCATGTGGTCTTGAACCACGCCGGGGCCACGGAATTAACCCTGGTCCAATTGCGCTTGCCTAATACCCTCAATGAAGAAGACTGGAGTGGACGTGGACACAACCGTTTACTTCAGAGCTCAACCGCGTTGGTGTCGTTGTGTCGTGTGTGGGGTTCGCGCGTGCGTATTTGTACCTCGGGTGTGTGAGTCATACATGCGCTAACATCGAGACATAGGCGTGAGGATAATCCAGGATAAATGTCCGTATGAATGAGGGGGGAGTTGAGGATCCGCGCGGCTGGCGACATGCTGCGAAAAGAGGAACCCTTTGTCGGAGGCGGAGAGATCGGATCAGCAATTGTAAAATGAACACGATTCTCAACAGGTGGTTAAAGGTGTTGACAGGCTTGGCTTTTTGTCCAGGAAACAATCGTTTTCAGAGAATATTCTAGATCTCGCACAGCTGAGGTGAAGTGACAAGCGACGCTGCCCTTAAACTTGCGTGATTTCGATTGGCGATTGTATATATCATCGAAGAACAACACAGACAATCAGAAACGTCGAAGAATTGCATTCCGTGAACACTAAATAAGGAAAATCACTGCTAATGGTCGCTTTGAACAGCGCTCCGCTGAAATTTTTAGATTAAAACACGCACACATATTGCACTAAAGAGAACCTTGGAAAATTGTGTTTTACCGTTAACGTGTTGAAATCTGTAAATTACTGATGACGTTTTGTGTCTGAATTATTTATGCTTACACAACATGACTGCGAAGAGTCTGAATTTATAAGCACAAAAACCACGTTCCAAGTTAACACAGAGAGGGAATAAATTGGCCTAGACCGGGTACCTAAAGTGTGGGCGCGCAAGACTATAAGAAGACATAATTTGTGCCAATTTAGCCCCTAATCTCATTATCGATGATTTCTTGAGTCCTAGAAGGTTTCGTCGGTGTCATGACGCGTCTAGCTTCTTTTGGTTTTTTCTAATAAACAACTTGTCATTTGACGTAAGTGTAAACAGACAACAAAGTGATTAACGTGGGGCACTTAGCCGTGATTGAAAAAAATGTTGTTTTTTAAAAAAAATTTCGGCCATGTAGCTTGTCGCAGTAATAATTAACAACGCAAAGAAAAATTAAAAATAAATATATACCAAAGTCTTTGCATGTGAAGCTAAACACAGCATTGGCCATCACCACGCTACCGTGAGCTGTATTCATGCATGATAAGATGTGGCTTTAATCGATTCTTTAAATCGATTTTTTCGATTTCTGCTTACTCTTTGCGTAGAGATCTTCGTTTAAGTTTAAAATCAATATACCAAGGCCATTGCACGTGAAGCTAAGCACAATATTGGCCATCAGCACGCTAACCTGAGCTGCATTCAGGCATTATAAATGTGACTTTAATCGATTCTTTAAATCGATTATTTGAAACCTGATTACTCCTATCGTTGTGACCTTTGTTTAGGTATTTAAATTGCATTCTTAAGAAAAGTCCACATATCAAACGATAGGACACTAAGCACCACAGTCAAAAGTTGTCGTGTTTGATCGTCATTCTGTTTTCCGATTGGACGCTGACACTGGGAACTTTGAACGGAATAAACGCCCAATGATAAGGAGGATCGATATGAAACGCTGTTTGAGGGCGCTTGTCGCTGAAACTGTTTCAGCGATTGCAAAACTTTAGCGAAATCTTGCTTTAGTCAATCCAGAAATCGCCTATCTTGTTCTTCTGCTGTAACCTTGAACTCGCATACTACTATCAGAATTTGAGTAACATGTCAAACGCCCACGCTTGCCATTAATTTATAACAAATTTGCCTTTCGTAAGGCCCCATCAGGGCGACGAGGTGAGCAGTTTCTAATCACATTAATATCAGAGCTTTGAATAGCCTGATTAGGTTGAAGAGGTTTCGCCTAGGTAAAAACTAAATTACCCGTAACCTACCATTGTTTTAGCCACAAAAAAACAGATCAATAACCCACGACACAAGATTTCCCAAGACCAATTTCTATTGGTTAGAGAATTTAAACAACGCTGGACTGTTTGGGCCAATAAGCATGCACTCTGACGGTTTGTTTAACTGAAGCTATTTCATTTCAAAATATTTTAAAAGTCAAGGCGTTCGTTTTTTTCATCTGATTTGTTTCATTACCCCCCAGGTATATCTAGCATTTAAAAAAGGATTAATTTTGCAGAGTAAAATGGCTATAAATTTGCAGTTTCTAACTTCACGTTAGAGGGTAAATTTAAATTTTGTCACTTAATTTAAACAATGATGGTGATGTGCGGCTATAGTAATTTTAGCAAAATTTCATCCCTAACTAAACTCGACGATTAGATTTTTTTGGCCAAAACACTATAGGCCTCGAAATTACGAAATTTCAAGGAGGTGCAACAGGCAGCACTTAATTTGAATTTCGAGTTCGCAAATCTCAATTCATTTTCCGAAAAAAAAATATTTCTGAATTATCACTCTACTTACAACAAATTAGTACACACGTAGACCTGTTTTCAAGCATTTGATGCAGCCCACTAATGTACAACCGTATCGTCAGACATTATTTACTGGCGCGGCTGCTTTGAATTTAATTGCAGCGGTTTTTAAGCAGTTCATGAGTCATGACGTATGCAGACTCCCAGACCTGCACTTTTAAAATGGGAAAGACAGGAACGTGGTAGTCGAGACCTCATTGGTTGGTGGAAAACGATTTTGATCTATCACGTTTCTTTTGTCTAAAGAGATTATACTACGATGTTTTTTATAGTATAATTCTATCATTACACAATCTAGCAACCTGAGCTTCTGTTTTCTTGATCGGCATTTTACTTTTTTAAAGTTCATTTACATGAAACAGACATTTGATCATGCTACTAATATAAATTAGTAGAATATAAGATAAAAGCGACGTTGGAAAAAATATTCGACGCCTTTCAAACGACGATGGTCAGAGCCTGACTGCACCTGAGAGAATCTGAGCAGCTCGAACGCTCGTATCATCCCAAACCAGACCTGTTGCGTCTTGGACGTTGTGCAAATTTTCACTTGACATTAATGCACAATGGAAGTGACGGCAACTATTCAAGGACTCCTGGAAGAATTCAGGTGTGTCGAGTTAAATTTCAGAAAATCCAACCAACCGCAGCCAGTTTGAATTTCAAGTACGCAAATGTCAACTTTAAATCCTAAATTGAAATATTAGGACTACTTCCAACAAATTAGTACGTACACTAATCTGTTTTCGGACATTAAATGCGCGAACAAGAAAAACAAATTAAAGGTTCTCATTCTAGAGGAGTGTGAACGCACGACCAAATTTGTCGAATTTTTCTAATTAAGACTTGCCCAATAACGTCAAAACAAAAATTATTTAATCGGGAAACTTTCACTCGCACTATTCCTTGACACGCTGCTTTGGCGACCATCGATCTTCAGTTAAATTTTCATTAAAACTTCATGGATGAGCTCTTTTTTTCGCGCAAAATAATAATTTCTACTAGTTAAATTATCAATAACATTTACTTTTTGTGTGCATTACCAGCACATGTTCCCGTACACAAAAGTATAGGCCTTTGTGGGGCTTCGTATTGCTGACATTAAACCCGCAGGTATAAGTTATGGATGCAAAATTTTAAAACCTACTTGACAATAATAATAAAAAATTATTTGAGCTGTATCTGTTAAAATTCTAAAATCAACTGAACCATGAAAATGCGCCGAGAATTTCACGATTTTCAGACGCAAGGCAGAAAAAAGAGAAATACGTTTGCTCCAACAATGCATAATTTATTTTCATAACAAATCCAACTAGATAAATGCACAAACTCGAGAAGGGAGACAGGGAGGCCTCTTTGACTGTGTCGATTATCCAAACCTGTTTTAAAAAAATTAGCCAACGATATTAACCAATTAAATTAAAGGATATTCACAATTTTCTACACGAATATATGGATAATACTTAAAATTCTTGTGCAATGAAACGGGATAACTTTTAAAATATTTTTGCTACTCAGAACTGTTCAATAAACCTTTTTTTCGAAAGTTGGTTTAAAACAAAGTGGTTGCCTTTGGTTTGGCAAAGTTCTTCAAAATACCGGCCGCTATTGAAAGGGTATAGATATAAAAATATGACAATTAACTCAAATTATCCAGTTACCTTTTATTATGAATAGAAATGTTTTTTTTGAAAAATGAAACCGCACAAGTCCAACAATATATTTTATTGCCTTTTGAGGCAAAATGTCATTTTTGTATAAAACACATTCACTTAGCACAGTGCTATTAAGACGTGTCTTTTGGGTGCGTCACAGGCCAATAAAATCGCAAGCATTCAGTGCTAACACCGTCATTTCTAGTTTATTTTGACTGGTTCATTCGCAGTGTGCTCACCTTGCCCTGCCGAAGAGCACGTAGTAGTCGTTCAGGCGTGCCATGAACCTGAAGATGTTGTTCCAGCTTCGAGAGGCACTTGGAGGCGGCGGCGGCGGTGGTGGTGGCGGCGGTGGCTCTTGGGCCTGCAGCCAGCCGGCGAAGTGGGGATCAGTCAGGAGTTCCTGTTCCTCCTGATCGTCAATGACCGACAGGGGACGCGCCAACACGCTACACGCAATGGCAAGAGTGATCAAGACTACTGCCGACATCGTGAACACGCACACCTTGTTGTCGAGCTTAACGCGGATATCTCAGTGAAACACGCCCATGTCTTAGCATTGGAGGCGGTTTCAAGTAATCGGTAGAACTCCGGATTTGGTGTGTTTCAATTGACCATTTATATGATCTCTCATTAGTTCGAATTGGCTGGCCAATGGGAATTCGAAGAAACATTGCTGGCATCACCTGTGCAACCAATCAGCTTTGAGAACCGAGAACATTGGAGTATCTTTGTTGTGTGCATGGGAAAAGGTATTTAAAAAAGTTTCCTTTTTAAAAATAGGGTGCTGCAACATTGGTGGCCTTTGCAAGATGTTAATTGGGCCCGAAATGACTGTTTGCAAAATTATCCTGACGACAGTTTCAAAAATTCCAAAGAAGCACACAATTAATTTGGGCTAGTTTGACTTTAAAATAAAACAGTGTTTAGTTCATTAAAACAACATCTTTAGCAAAATTAAAGGCAGAGATTGATACACGAGATATAACATGCCCGGTTTTAAATTTTCCATTCATTAATGTGTTAATTGCTTTTCTGTTAATTAAATTAGATATTCTTCTTTTAATATTAACAATGCTTGCGACTGTTTAACATGGCTCCTCTGCAAAGCAGGGGAATTGGTTCTGCACTTACACTACCACATGAATTTCAAAATATTCACGCATTCAACAACGAGGTGATTGATTTAAACAAAATTTGACCTTAACAATGGCTTCAAGCAAAAGTACTTTACCAAGGTAAAATTTTTAAACTCTATCCTACTTGTTAGTGCGAATTTGTTTTAATGAAAAAGAAGCTATTTTTCTAAACCAGAGATAGTTACATATTTCATAGACTGTACACATGCCAAAACTACCCCTCGCACTTATGCACCACTTGGAAATTAAGCAGACAGTTTTGATAAATTGCGCCGACAAGTAAGTGTTCCTATTGTATTGGGTTTGTCTGATGGTGTTTCGTTCAACGATGATCAGTTTCCGTGTTAACCAGTGTCCGTGGCCACCTGTGTGACGCAATAAAAACCTGTCCCATGCAATTGGATTTTGAGCAGTTCAGTTTTGTAACCGATGTTTGACAGTAGCTTCTGGCTTCTATCGTGCTAGGTGTTTACTAACACGTAAACCAACCACAAAAGGCTTCACCGTAAAAGTTGATGCCCGCTTTTACGTTCCCACGAGAAAAACACACTTTCCTACAGAATTCACTGGTGTGAACAGCATGCGCAGCTATGGCGCCACATTTCTCATTTCTGGTACAATACTCTGCCTGTACCCCTTGACCTGGTTAAGCTACAACACACGCACTCGACCGCGCCGAGCGTCGAACACAACTCCATGTACTTTTAAAATTAAATGATGGTCGTGAACGAACACAGGAGGCATTTCGGCGTCACTGAACTTTCCACTTCCTCTGCACCACGGCTCGATTCACCACGAGGCAATTTTGCATGTCGTGTGTTTGTGCTTTGGAAAAAGGCAATGAAATGAATGCAACCGTGCACCACAGCAGTTGAAAAAGTCGCCACCTTGGTGTGTCGTTCAGTTGAGAACTCCTTTCTCGTTTGGTGTCAGGTGAACCGCTGTTCTTGAATCACAAGCTTCTGGTTGGATGTTCACAGTCAGCTTGAGGTACGAATGGGGTCAACCGAGTGTGCAGAGGTCATGACGTGGGTGTCGAACCACACCGAGACGACAACCGTTTACTGTGGTGATCGGAGACTTGTCGCCTGGTGTGGCAAGGCATCGGCGTACATTGGAAAGTTACGTGCTCAAGCCGCACACACGTTGCCAACCACAATATGCGCTCTCGTGATTGCCTTTGTCTGTCTCACTAATGTGCAAAAGGGATTCTGGCCAAATGTTTTTGATTTCCTAGGTGTGCGTTTTCGTGAAAACAGAAGACCTCACACTGGGATTATCGTGGTAATTTGATAAAAAACGGACGGTCCTCCGTACGTTCTACAGTATATCAATTTACTTAGAATGACCATGGGTTAGTGCTCAAACTTAGTCAGTTTTGGGCAATGAAATAATGAAAACAATTTGTCCACCTTCCAACAAGGGCACAGAAATTATGCGACAACACTGCTGAACACCAGCCCACGTCTCAGATAGCATTGCACTGCCGAAGATACTCTAAGTAGGATGGAACCAAGAGGGAAATTTGTTGAACCCACTGGAGTGACTGGTAAGGCCATCACATATTCCCTGAGATCGTGGTGAATATCGTATTTCAACGTAGCCTGCATTAAAATCAAGTTAATTCTGTTCACTGACCCCAACCGTCTATCTCAGAGGCACCTCAAGAAGAAGCTATCAAATCAAATTGCCCAAATATGCTTCATAAACCGAGTTATTGCGAGTCCTTGTTAACATGGAGCCACAGTTTGCTCATGTCTCAAGGTTAAAAGTGTGGGAATACATGCATGGTTCATTTGATTACTGTTGAATTGGCTTCCCGGGATTGTCAACTTGCGCTGAGAACACTAATAACGTTTTTGTTTAAAATTGCATTCCACCGCTGTATTTGAGTTTAGACAAAACTGTTCACGTGTTGAATTCTTATTTCAGGACTGAACAAAGTGCCAAGCTGGTATTGCATATACACAATCATTATGTATGAGCACAATTCTGAATTTAAATTACGACAAACATTTGCCTGTAGCAGCATGAATTCACCTTTTACCTGATTGGGCTGTTTGGTTGTCGCCAGTCTTAATTTGTGTCACGGCGAAAATGACCTTAAGGACTAGGGCACGTACGATGCCTACGTACTGACCTGTTTACGATCGATCATCCATCAATCGTGAACATTTGAGATCTGGTATCCACAAAATCATTCCGTAAGGGATGTGATCGTCGTAATTTTTGGTCAGTCCATTCTCTTCGGAGTGCCTTCGTGCAGTTCGAGGGTTTAAAGGAACCTGGTTCGAGCCCAATCCAGGGCATCGGCTCCAGAGAGGATTAAATGAGGATGTGGAATCCCTTCGTTTGAATTAGCTCTTCCGGAACACTGATCTGGTCTCATTGTCAACCCCAAACGATGATCCGTGGCATTAATTGGACCTACGTTAACTACTCTGATTTTCGGCTAACTGAATGCAGGGGTTTTCAAGATCTGAGGATCAGGTATGTTTACACCGGTAAAACCATTAGGACCATTCAAAACCGGTTCATTTCCTTGAATCGAAAAGTTCAAAAATTTGTTTGGATTTCATTGCACTTGACCGTGGGCCAATTTTTGTGTTTACCACTTTCGGGTTACACGTAAATGCGTGGTGCATCGCACAGACCCCAGCAGCTGTCAACGCACGAATATTAAACAACTTGCTATAGGTGGCGATCAGCATCCAAGCATGGGCCGTACTCCCGACAGGTCCAACCAGGCGTGATAGAATGCTATTTTAATCGATTTTTTTCAATCGGCGTCTGGATTTCTTCATACTCACCTCGAAGTGACCTTCAACCAGGTAGCGAGGTGAATTCATGCTGCCGCAGACAAATGTTTGTCGTAATTTAAATCCATAATTATGCTCATACATGATGATTGTGTACACGCAATGCCAGGTTGGCACTTTGTTCAGTTCTGAAATAAGAATATGCGATGGCCTTACCAGTCACTCCAGTGGGTTCAACAAATTTCCCTCTTGGTTCCATCCTACTTAGAGTATCTTCGGCAGTGC